ATTCACTCAAATTTTTCATTCTCAGGACCTTGACTTTTCACTGTTAGTGTATAGGTGTATATAATTTTATATAGGAAAGAAATGGATATAGCTGGGTGTTGCCATAATCTTTAATGATCTGTGATCATTCCTAGAGTGAATGAGCTGTTTTACTTGCCATCAGTGTTCATTCATTTACCCATTATTTATTCATTCATCATTATTCAAAACAAGTAAATAAATACACAAGAAAATATTATGCAATATTAGTGCTATGATGAAAATAAATCAAGATGTGGTGACTAGTCAGGTGACATCTAAATCATCTTATGTCAAGAAGGAGCAAGTCATGCAAAGATCTGGAAGAACATTACAGACACAACAGTTTATGGGAGCCTGATGTTTACAGAACTGAAACACTCAAAAGGTTCAGAGTGTAGGGAGGAAAGGGAAGAGTGGAGAGTGATGAAAGCAGAGATGTAGACAGATGGCAGCTTGTGTTAGACTGGGTAAACTAGGGAAACAAATCCACAGAAACACATATGTATAAGAGAGAGTTTTATATAAAGAGTAAGTATACATTAAGAAAACATCCCAACCCAATGCTGCCCAAGCCCATAAGTCCAACATTAGCCCATATGTCTGACACAATCTACAAAGTCCTCCTCAAATCTCACAAAACAATGCAATGATGCTGACTGCAGGAGGAAAGCCGAGTCAGTGAATGTGTAAGCCTCTTAGCGCTGGCTGGGGTCTCCATACGGCTGCTCCAGCACCCAGGGGTGTATCAGGGTAGGTCCATGTGCCTTCTCCTCAAGGATGTCTTACAGGAAGTGAGCCTTACAAGCTGAAGCAGGGAACTGTCTAGGCACAAGCACCCTGATCCAAACCATCAAAAAGCTAGAGACCTGAGAACTAGAAAGTTGAGGCTCACCGAGCCGTTTATTTCTCCACCCTTCAGTTAATCCCACATGTATTTATCAGCCAGGTTGGCACAATAAACCTTAACTGTCCAACAGCTCAAATGGACCACATGGATGTAAGGAATGGGGAGGTAAGACTAAGAGAGTAGGAGCAGTAGGAAACCAGATTGTGGAGAAAATGAAGGAGGCTTGGGTCAACATTCTAGTAGTAGAGATCTAAGATAGAGTTTGAAGTAGAATTGATAGATACACTGAGAGTTTATATGACATGGAAGCAAAGAGAAGGCTGAAAGATATTTCATGCATGTTATTGTCCATGTTTGTGCCATTTTCTGAGACAAAGAATACTTAAGTATATGTTGATTGGGAAAATCAACAATTCCATCTTGATTATAAGATTGAGATGTTAAATGATCTTAGCCTCTTTCTTTCTCTCCGGTGTGTTAAGGGTTTCAAATATTTATTGCATTGAATATTTTTCCTAGGTGATAGGTATTTCAGTTGGTCTTTTATAAAATGTTATCTAATTTATTCTCATAAAATCCCTGATAGGAACTATTCTTCCAACTGTAAAGTAACCTACAGTGGTTTCGAGATAAAATAGTGTCTCTAAAGTCACATAGAAAATAAGTGACAGCGTTGAAATTTGAATCCAAGTCTAACCCAAAGACGTTCGATTTTTTCCCCCATCTACCAAGCTGCTTCCAAGATTTGCTCTGTTTTATCTATAGCCTTTCAGTCAGTTTTCCATTGTGACTATTGGTGTTTCAATATTAGAGCCTGTTGGTGAAGTAGACTTCTCATTATCAGTTTTCTCTCTCTCTTTTCTTATTCTTCTTCATCCTGAGACCCATCTGAGACAATTCCTCCCTTGTCTCCTTCAGAAGGTCCAGAATAACACATTTCCTATCTCGCTTTATGTAAACAAACAACCTCAGGAAACCATGTGACGTCGATAATTTGTTACCTCATCATAGTGTGTGAAACATTTTATTTTCTCTCATTATGAGCTTAGAGAGCACTGTACATGTTATTCTTCTAAAGAAACCTTCAGGTGATGTTTTACTCCACTTGAGCCCCAGAAAGAAAAATAGAGGGTTAAGTGGAATTTGCTCCTTTTTAAAATTTAAATTTTCCTATAATTTTGGAGGAGCTTTCCTCCCATGAATGTACTGGACATTAGCATGTTTTCTTCTCTGGGGAATTGTCTAGTTTCCCCTTCCCCAGCACATTTTTATTGATGTATCTGTCTTTTGTTGTTGTTAGATGCCATTGCATCAGTTCCAACTCATAGAAACCCTATGTACAACAGGATGAAACACTGGTGCCCTGTACTATCCTAATAATTGTTATGTTTGAGCTCAGTATTGAAGCCCTATGCCAATCCATCTTGCTGAGGGTCTTCCTCTTTTTCATTGCCTAATAAGCCTTCCTCCAATCCTGATGCCACATTATTCTTCATTATTATTGGTCGAGCATACAGATTATAAAAGAATGGTGAAAGGATATAACCTTGACACACACCTTTCCTGATTTTAGACCATGCAGTATTCACTTGTTCTGTTTGCCTTTTGATCCATGGACAATTTCCCCTGAAGCCCAATGAAGTGTTCTGGAATTCTCATTCTTCTCAAAGATATCAATAGTTTGTTATGATCTACACAGTTGAATGCCTTTATATACTCAATAAAACACAAGTAAATATCTTTCTGGGATTCTCTACTTTCAGCCAAGATCTATCTTAAATCACCAAGGATTTTCCTTGTTCCATATCCTCTTCTAAATTTAGCTACATTTCTGGCAGTTGCTGGTCAATGTACTGCTGCAACGGTTGTTGGATTATCTTCAGTAAAATTTTATTTGCCTATAATAGCAGAGGTATTGTTCTATAACTTGAGCATTCTGTTGGGCCACCTTTCTTTGGAATGGGAACAAATATGGATTTCTTCCAGTTAGTTGTCTAAGTAGCTGTTTCCAAATTTATTGGCATAGATGAGTGAGTGCTTTTGTTGCTTCATCAGCTTGTTGAAATATTTCCATTAGCATTCTGTCAATTCCTTAAGCCTTGTTTGGTGAATGCTTCTCGTGAAGCTTTGGTTCTTAAACATTTACTGCATCTTGAAATGGTTGAATGTCAACTAGTTCTTTTTGGTTGTGTAATGAGTACTTTTAGGTACAGTGACAATGCATTCTTTCCATCTTCTTTTGAAGTTTTCTGCATCATTCAGTATTTCAAATACTTCTATGGTCACCCAAAGTGAACAGGTTTCAACAGAACTTCCAGACTAAGAATACACAATGAAGAAGGAATAGGTAGGTGTCCATTTCAGAGGAAATCTTATGAATGGCAATGGGACATTAGCAGGAACTGAATACCTCAGGAATAGAAGCAGAACATTGTCAGAGATAGTACCAGAAGATGGGACCTTCAGATTGGAAGGGACTCAAAATAACACTAAGGAGGGATTGCTTTCTCAAAGTAGAGGAGACCACTATGATGTGCATGGAGTAAAACCTTGGGATCTTCCTTTGCTCAAAATGAGAAGACGACTCAAAATGAGAAGAATCAGTCTCAAGCATGTATTAATAATTGGAAATTGGAATGTAATGACATATGAATCCAGGAGAATTGGAAGTAAAAAAAAATTAAATGAAACACATAATGATCTATATCCTAGGTGTTAGTGTGCTGAAATGCACCGGTAATGGCCATTGAATCATAATTATCTGATTTACTATGCTGGGAATGACAGATTCAAGAAATTGGCACGACATACTTCATCATAAAGGACAGTTCAAGATATAGCTTGGAGTACAGTACTCTCTGTGATAGGATAATAACTAATCTTCTACAAGGAAATCCAGCCAATTAAACTACTATTCAAATTTATGCACCAGCCACTAAAGTTAATGATACAGAAATTGAAGAATTCTACCAACATCTTTACTGTGACATTGATCAAACATGTAAGATTTATAAATAATTTTTGGCAATTGGAATGAAAAAGGTTGGAAACAAAGAGGAAGGAACAGTAGTTAGAATATATGGTCTTTGTGATAAAATGAAGCTGAAGATCACATGATAGAATCTTGCAAGACCAATGACTTCCTCATTGCAAATACCCCATAAATACCCCACAGGTGGACTTCTCCTGATGAAATACTTATAGAGCAAGTTGACCACATTTATGTAAAGGGACAATGGAGAAGCTCAATATCAGCAGTTAACTGAAGCTAGGTGCCGATTGTGGAACAGACTATCCATTGTGCATATGTAAGTTCAGGTTGAAGTGAAGAAAATTAAAACAAGTCCACAAGAGCCAAAATAAAACCTTTAGTATATACTACCTGAATTTTGACAGCATCTCAAGAACAGATTTGACACATTGAGCACTAATGACAGAAGACCTGATGAGCTGGGGGATGACACCTAGAACATCATATATGAAGAAAGCAAAATATCATTAAAAATAGGGAAGAAAGAAAAGATTAAGGAGGATGCCGAAGACACTCTGAAGCTCTCTTAATCTTAGAGTAGCTAACACAAATGGAAGAATTGATGAAATCCCAGAGCTGAACAGAAAACCACAAAGTGTGGCTTGGGAAGACCAAATAATTACAATGAAATGTGCAATAACCTAGGGTTAGAAAATCATATAGGAAGAATATATTTAGTATCTTCAAATGAAAGCATGAAAGGAAAAAATCAGGCCTCAGAAGAAAATGTGCCCATGTCCTTCTGAAAATCAGTCATTGAAAACTCTATGATTCACAGGATTACTTTGATACCTATGGGCTTGCCATTAGTTGGTTGACTCTTTGGCAATTGGCTGCTTTGGGGCACCTTTATCACTTTCACTCTCTGCTCGGTCAGTTGAATTTTTTTCCCTCCAATACCCAGCCCTTTACTGCAACACCACTAGTCAGTGAATTCATTGGAAGCCTATCTGCCTTTCATCCTTTTTCTTAATCCTTCCTAGACCTTCCCTATATGTTCTCCTAGTTTCTGCCCTCACCTCCTTTTACTTATGTTTTAGGGTATGCTGTGTGTTTTTAAATTTGAACTGAATTCTAAGACTTATTTTTTTCTTTTTACAGATCAAACCTGTGGTACACTGTGAAATGAATGTACCTTCCAGGTGGCGAACATATAATCGAGTGTCTCGACATATAAAGTGAGTACAATATTATTAAAACTGAAGTTTGGCATTGCGCCTTGCCTTTGTTTCTTTTTGTTTTTAGGTGCCATTGAATCCAACTCCTAGCATCCTTCTTTACAACAGAATGAACCCTGTTGGTTCTGTGCCATCTCACAGTCTTTACTATGCTTGTGATACTCACACTGTCATTGTTTCAAACTGTCTTTAAAAAAAAAACACAATTATATTGGGATATAATCTACATAGGACTCAATTCAATAGTACAGTCATATCAAGAACAGTTGCTCAATCATTACCCAAATCAATTTTAGAACATTTTCTCCTTGTATTTCTCATTGTTATTAGCTCCACATTTCCCCCCAATCTCCTCTACCATGCCCCCAAGACACCATTAATCCAGTTACTGTCTCTATAGATTTACTTGTCCTGGATTTCATGTACAGAAAAATGTACAAAACCAAAAATTAACAACAATAGCAAAATAAAACAAACAAAAAAACCTCATTCTAAAAGAAAGCAGAAAATATTAAAAACTAGAACAACTTTAAAATGGGTCAAAAAGGAGATTAAATGATAAAGTATTAAATACTAACCAAACTATGCTATACTCCACTTTCCAAGGCACTCTGCATGATAGCAAGGGTATACACATGCCTGGTCTATGGTCAGAGGGGATTCCCTGGGGGCTTAATTCATGTGTACTTCCCTTTCCTTTTATTTTAGACTGAAACAACTTTAAAATGGGTCAAAAGAGATATATAAATAAGAGGTTACACTTTAGCCTAGCTATGTCTACAATAATTGCATTCACAATGCTCTCTGTCTGATAACAAGGCTATTCACACCCCTTGACAATGACAAAAGGGGATTCACCAGAGGTTTAATCCATATATGGACCCTGAAAATACATCTTGATGTTCACTGTTATTCATTGCCTTTTGTAAACCTGGTGTTCATTATTTAAACTCTGATACCATTCCCTCCCTCAGATTTGGATTATATATTTATAATCCTTGGATCACGTAATCTGGTGTGCTACTTCCATGTATGTATACTTAGCTGACACCTCACTTACAAGGCTGATTGTTTGACACTTGTTTGGCTTTGAAGACCCCAGATACTATTCTTTCTGATAGCAGGGGTACCATCTAGTTTGTTTTCCACACTGCGGTAGCACCCATACCTTCAGTGATCTCTTTATGAGGGTGAGCATCAAGCAGGGTATGTCATAAGAGATCCTTGTTCTTAGATTGGGGCTAGAATTTAGTGTGAACCCAAAATCTGTACATATATATCTATATATATATTTCACATTAGAGACATCATTGTCATTTTATGAAATAATATAGAGAAAATTATTAGTCATCTCACTGGGGCATAAGTTAATTTTATTAATAGAGTCATTGATTTAGCCAATGACATAGAATTTAAAACACAGTTTAGAAAAGGAAATCATACAAGTATAGGCTGACTATGAAGGGAAATAAATAAATTGACTTGTGTAGATTAAACTCCTGTGACTGGACAATGTTTATATAAACAATGAAGATTAGTCATAAGGCAAAGCTTTCAATAATATTTATTGACAGTGGCTGACTCACACCCACCAGAATAATACATATATCATAATAAAAGCAAATAGGGCATTAAAGTAGTAAGTATATGGTTGTCCCATCCCATAACCCAAGGCAAGACATCCAAATCAAAGTCCAATAACTTCTACTTCATTATCCTTGGGATAGCAGTCACCTGTTTCTTCTCACAGTAGGGAGTTTCAGTCTTAAGACCCAGGGCTAGAGGTGAGTTTGAGGTAGAACACAGTTTACTTAGTGGGGTCTCTACATCAAGTCATTCTGGTATGGCTTATGACATATAGTGTGTGCCTTGAAAGAGCAGCATCTAAAGTCCCAGTAGTCTATAGCACATGGCCTGGGTCACCAATGGCTGGAAACAAACTAGGTCAAAAGTGACATAGTACTAGTCATGTTCTCCCCTTGGGTTCTATATAATATCGTTGAGCATTTTTACTGATGGGAGGTTGTTTCCTCCCCAGTATCCTACCAACAACTTTAATTACCTACTGTGAGATATGCATGCTCCCCTCCCCCAATCCATCTTGACTTGAAAGTTAGTAAATATATCTGTTACAGCAGCACTAAGAAATTAAAGACAACATGCTTGGTAAAGTAGGTCAGCAAAAACAGAAAGAAGTTTGACAAGATAGATTGACTTCTAACCTGGTCTATCAAGTAATATGACCTAGCATTCATGAACCATGCATCAATGACCAAGCTTTCATGAGCCATGAACCAATCACATCAAGCAGTATTCCACCCTCTATATGCACATCTTAAAAAAGCACTTGGGACAGAGTAGACCTCAACTCAGCAGAAACCAGTTTTTCAAGATCAGAGAAAGGGAGATGATCATTCAGTTACTGCCATACAAAGGTGTGCTAAGGTCACTTGGAATCAACAGACACTCCTACCATAGTGAAAATTACTACCAGTGGTTGATCGCTAGAAAGAATTTTGGCATAATCAACTAAGAAAACAAATAGTTGGAAACAATACAACATGCCTTGTTTATGTAATAGTAATAGCACATTGATTAATTGTGATATAAAGCGTAAAACTTTGTTTCTGTGGTTTGTTTTGGGGCATTGTTGTAAATATGGAAGGAGTTGGAGTTTGGGTTGATTAGAAGTCTCTTTTGCCACATATTTTGTGGCAATTATTGTTGAGTTTAGCTTGTCAATCAGGTCACAGCTTGATGACCTCATTTGGAGGCGCTATAGAGATAAATAGCTTGCTGGAGGTGGAACATATAGAGACTTTGTGAGACATTCCTATTGACAAGCCACGTGGAGCTTCGCTAATACAGCCAGAGTCCTGGACCTGGAAGATCCACATGGAGACCCACACCAGCACTGAGAAGCTTCCACCACCACTGGAACCACAAGATTTTCCACCTACTGGACTGTGATCTTCCTGCATTTGCCGTCATTGCCTGTGTTGCGTGAGTCTGAAGAGGAATTTATAGATTGGTATAGGACATATGGGTTAATATCAGACTTAAGGACCTGCTGGATTGAGCTGGGCTGTTAATATACAATTACTCTTCTATATAAAGTTCTCTTATACACATATGAGTGTCTATGAATTTGTTTCTCTAGTCTACCCAGACTAACACAGATTTCATATCAGAGACAACTGATATATTTTTAATTGTGTTCAGACATGTTAAATTAAAAATAATACTTTTACTTAAAAATATGTTCTTCTCAAATTCTGAATTATTTGAGTTTAAACAGAAACAACAGAGTGGTAACAAATATTAATATAAAAATAACAAACTGGAATTACAAAATTGAGCTTATATGTTAATAACCAATATCATTATTTTTAGACTTAAAAGAAGTAAACCTCATATTTTGTATCTTATTATGAGTTATAAGAGTTTAAAACTATTTCCAAGTGACTTTGACTAATGTGGTACCATTTTGTTAACATTGATTGTACTGATTTTTTGTTGGGTTTTGAAATAAAATCTACAAAGGCTCCTTTTGTCCACTCAAACATACAGGAATAATAAAACAGGCCCATCAAAATCATGCCAACTTCCTTAAATCTGTGACAGTGAAATCAAATGTTTTTATTATCTTTTAGAAGGATTGCACATTATTTCCTTTGTCAGCCCTCCTTTCCAAGGGAAAGGAAAATAACTATATTCTCCTCCCCTCATTTTATTGATATTTTTACAGATATACTATTCTGTAGTTCAATCACATCAAGTAGTATTGTACAATTGCTATCACAATCAGCTTGAAAACATGTTCTTTCTTCCTTGAACTCCTCAATACCAGCCCCCTTTTATGCCCCCACCCCCACTGTACCCCCCAGGAACACTTCTTATTCTATTTTATAGCTTTATCAATCCTTGGTTTCATAAACTGAAAAACAGAAAACATGTAACAATTCAAGAGTGCTATCTTTTCCCAACATTATTGCAATGTCCCCAGGCTCTAAGATGTTCTGTGCAGCTTAATAAGGATAGCTTGTTATGGCATGGCATTTATTTTAGCAACCTTTAAAATTGTAACACATTTTTGTTATGGTTCTGTGAGTATGCATTTTTTCTTTGAAATTTTATTACCCCACATATAATTTAAGGTATTAATTGTTTTTTTTTTATTCCTACAGTGTTTTCACAAATGGAAAATTACTTATTCCACCTGTAAAAATAATTATACCCAAATTCAGTCTATCAGATTGGAGTAATGTGCTGGCTATTATTGGAGAAAAAGTCTTCCCTCCAGGAGGTGTGCGAAAGTAAGGAGACTCCCAAACTTATAGCAGAACCAAAGACCACAGGAATTTGTTTTTGTACTTCTATGGGAACCTATTCTGCTTAGACCACCAAGGTCTAGCATGATTAATTCATAATAAGCTGTGAATTCCAACTTTAGTTTCACTAAATTACTTTAATTCTTCAAAGATGGGATTTTCCCAATCTTTATATTATGCTTTTAAAAATGAATTTCATTTATTCAGTAAAGCTTATTGAACATTTGCCACATGCTAGGTATAATGAATGCAGTTCACAAAAGACCCAATTTGTGGGACCAACAGTTGAAGTTTAATGAGACACTGTACTTGGTCTCTAAGTGTGGTTCAAGAAGTCTGGGGAGGCCACATGAGAGAGCATCAAGAGAGATTAGGGGAGGGAAAAATAATTTCCGTGGGGGCACAAAAGTGTGCATAAAAGAGGCTTCTGCTGTTGGTAAGTTCTGATTCATACTAACCCTATGTATATAGCAGAACAAAATCCTGCCTGATCCTGTGCCATCCTCACAATTTTTATGCAACCTGGCCGATAAACACACATGGGGTTAATTGAAGGGCAGAGAGATAAATGGCTTGGTGAGCCTTGCCTTTCAAGTTCTTTGGTCTCTTGCTTTGTGATGGTCGGACCAGGGTGCAGCTACCTTAGCAGTTCCCTGCTTCAGCTTGCAAGGCTGACTTCCTGCAAGACATCCCCAGGGAGAAGCCACAGGGACCTACCATGATGCAGTCCTGGGTGCTGGAGAACCTGTGTGGAGACCCCCGCCAGGGCTGATATGCTTACACATTCACTGATTAGGCTTTCCTCCTGCAGAAGGCATCATTGCGTCTGTTTTGTGAGATGGAGGAAGGCTTTGTGGATTGGTGTTGGACATATGGGTTAATGTTGGATGTGTGGGCTTGGGCAGCACTGGGTTGGGATGTTTTCTTGATGTGCACTTAACCTTTATCTAAAGCTCTCCCTTACACATGATTTCCTGTGGATTTGTTTCTCTAAAGTACCCAGACTAACACACCAAGTGACTGGTCCCTCTTGATAATATATTCAAAGTATCTGAGATGAAGTCTGACCATCCACACTCCAAAGCACATTCTTGCTATGCTTTTCTAAGAAAGAGCTGTTTATTCTTAATATTTAAATATTTATACTTAATTTTGTTTACTAACACCACAATTCAAAGGCATCAATTCTCCTTTGGTTTTCCTTACTTATTCTCCAGTTTTGGAGATACCAATGCTGGGTCAGATGCACCTTATTGAAAGTCTTCAAAGTAACATCTTTGCTTTTTAACAATTTAAAGAGAGATTTTGCAGCAAATTTACCCAGTGTAATATGTGATTTGATTTCCTAATTGGTTCTTCCGTGGGTGTTGCACGTGGACCCAAGTTAAATGCCACCCTTGACAACTTCAGTAATTTTCCATTTATCATGATTTTGCTTATTGGCCCAGTTTTGATGATTTTTATTTTATATAGAGTTCTAATCCATATTGAAGGCTATAGTCATTGAGCTTCATTAGTAAGTGCTTTAAGTCCTCTCTGCTTCCGAATGCAGGGTTTTAAATGGGTCTTCTTCCAACCCCAATGCTATTCTCTTTTTCTATATAGTCCAGTTTCATGGCTTGTTTTCACAGTGTACAGTTTGGATAAGTATGACGAAAGGACAGAGCCCGGAGACACACCTTTCCTATTGCTTTTTTTAAAGCTTGATTTCTGTTCTGTTATTTATTTATTATTTTTAATCATTTTATTGGGGGCTCGTACAACTCTTATCACAATCTATACCTCCATCCATTGTGTCAAGCACATTTGTACATTTGTTGCCATCATCATTTTCAAAACATTTTCTTTCTACTTGAGCCCTTGGTATCAGCTCCGCATTTCCCCCCTCCCTTTCGCAACCACCCTCCCTCATGAACCCTTGATAATTTATAAATTGTTATTATTTTGTCATATCTTACACTAACCGATGTCTCCCTGGACTCATTTTTCTTTTGTCCGTCCCCTTGGGAGGGGGTTATATATAGCTCATTGTGATCGATTCCCCCTTTTTCTCCCCACCTTCCTTCTACCCTCCTGGTATAGCTACTCTTTATATCGGTCCTGAGGGGGTTATCTGTCCTGGATTCCCAGTGTTCCCAGCTCTTATCTGTACCTGGGTACATGCTCTTGTCTAGCCAGATTTGTAAGGTAGAATTGGGGTCATGTTAGGGGTGTGTGTGGTGGGGAGGAAGCATTAAAAAACTAGAGGAAAGTTGTATGTTTTATTGGTGCTATACTGCAACCTGAGTAGCTCGTCTCTTCCTTGTGACCCTTCTGTGAGAGGATGTCCAATTGTCTAAAGATGGGCTTTGGGTCTCCATGCTGCACTCACATCATTCACAATGATATGAATTTTTTGTTGTGGGTTTTGATACCTGATACCTGATCCCATCGACATTTCATGATCCCAGAGGTTGGTGTGCTTCGTCCATGTGGACTTTGTTGCTTCTCAGCTAGATGTTGCTTGTGTTTTTTCCAGGCCTTTAAAAGTCCAGATGCTATATCTTTTGGTAGCCAGGAATCATCAGCTTTCTTCACCACATTTTCTTATGCATCCATTTTGTCTTCATCAATCATGTCGGAAAGGTGTGCATCATGGAATGCAAGCTTATTAGAACAAAGTGTTCATGTGTTGAGGAAGTACTTGAGTAGAGGTCCAATGTCTGTCTGCTACCTTAATACTAAACCTATAAATATATGCACGTAGATCTATTTCCACACCTTCCTATATAAATATATTTTCATATGTACATTCCAGTCTTTAGACCTCTATAAATACCCTTTGTCACCTAGTTCTTTCCTCTCTTTCCTTTTACTTTCCTCTTGTCCCACTGTCATGATTAGCCTTCATTTGGGTTTCAGTAATTCCTCTTGGTTACATTTCCCTTGATCAAGTCCTACCAGGCCTCCTACACTTCCTTGCCATTGAGTTTAGATAACTTGTTGTTCCCTTGTCCCTGGGTTTGTTAACACTCACTCCCACCCACCCCCACCCTCCCACCCCCGCTTCTCCCGGTCCAGTGTCTCCCCGGAACCATTTGTCTCATTGTTTTCTCCTCCAGATTGTTTATCCCACCTATCTTATCTAGATAGACATGCAGAGATAATAATAAATGCAAAAGCAAGACAGTAAAACAAAACAACATAAACAGCAGCAACCAAAAAAATGACAACAAAAAATAAAAGAAAAGAAAAGAAAAAGAAAAGCCTATAAAGAGTTCCAGGTCTGTTTTTTGAGCTTTAGGAGTGTTTTCTGAGTCTGATGCGGTGCCATGCCCTGGCCCCAATGTCTATTTTTGGTATTCCCTGGGGACTTCATTGCTCTGCTCTCCTTGCTGCTCTGTTGCATGCCCTTAGCTTTTCACCCCAGAGTGGTAGGGTCAGATCTGGCACAATTTCCACACTACGCCTCCAGTATTGTCTGTAGAAGTGCTGTGGGTCAGTGAGGGATATCGTGTCTCGTGGTGTGCTGGCCCTATGATGATTGGTTGCTGTGAGCAGGAACATTGTCCTCTGGGCTTTGTGGGCCAGAATGTATTTCACTCTATTTCCTTTCCTCTTCGTTTGCTCCTGTGTGCTCTGATCTGATGCACCCCTCTCCCTGAGCTGTAACTTCAGTGCTGTACTCTGAAGTGAATTCTTCTAGGGGGAGGGAGGGTGTCCACATAGTTTGGATTGGGGCCAGCTCTGCAGACCTCATTATTGGTTCCCTGCTTCATGCTGGTCTGTTGAATTCACATCTTTGTGAACTGGGTTGAAGTCTGGTCCCTCTTTCCCTCTCCTGTAGAGATAAAAACACCACCCTCCCCTTCAGTGGGTTAGTGCCCTGTTCACCCACTACCCATGTCTTCCTTTCTTTTCTTTTCTCCTCATTTTTACTTGGCTACCATATGTATCCCTGGATTGGGTCTGGCCCCTGCCATGCTACCAGGACCTCACCCCCAAAATGTATGTATACAGTAGCTTTTTCCCTATGCCCCTTTTGCATTTTTAAGCTTACCTCAGTGGACTCATATTGTATTGTCTTTTTGTGCTTGGCTTACTTCACTTAGCATAATTTCCTCCAGTCTTTCCATGCGGTGTTGGGCTTCATGCCTTCAGCACTGCTTTTTAGTGATG